AGTACTGCAGTCACTGGGAAGATCGTTCCCTAGCAACAGTTGGAAGAAGAGAGTTGTTAAGTATATCACTGTTTCAAGGGAGGCCTTAGGGGCTGTAAAGCCAGGAGTCATTAGGGAGTTATAAAGTAGCACAGTCAAGGGGCCAGTGTACCAGGAATAGAAGTGTCTTCAGGTTCCTACTGCACTGGAGAGGATGTTCACTTTGAAAATCCCAGTTCTTTAAGGAATTGTTTAGAGCTGCTTTTCTTTTGTCACTTATTGCACAATAAAGACTGCTACAGAATTTGCAGAGTGCAATGATAAACACTGAAACCTGAATCACGAATAGCTGCATTCCATGAGGCATATACTGACCTCAGAATAGTAGCAAGAATCCATTTCTGCTGGCTGATCAGAAAACAAAGATCAAAGAGGAAGCCCAATCCTCTCTCGAACACTCCTGTAAGCCTTTTAATATCCCTTATTTTCAGAGGCTTCTCTTACAACGGGCATGACCCATGCCCACTGAAGTCAATGGGAAGATTGTGATCATTTTCAGTTTTACAACCTGACCTTGTACCCCACGGTAGCCTACTTTTTTTTTTTTTTTTAATGTTATACTGCATGATATCACAGTATCAAAATAGTCAGAAGGGAATGTGGAGAGCAAGTTACTAAATTCTAGTTAGAGTAAAGTTATGCAAGTCAAACTGAATATCTAAACCTGAACCATAGGTAAGCCTGAGATGACTTACCTCTCTTCTTTTATGTAACCATAATGTTTTTCTCCTGCTCAAAAAATTTTTAATGCTGATGCATTCTCTGCAGGGAGAGCAGGAACAGACAGCACTATGACCACAGAGGCCCAAGTTCCAACTTGCTTCTTATCTGTAGCCATTCTCGCTTCTTTTTTCCTGGCAAGAATTTTAAATAACTCTAAGTGTTTCATAATGATCACTCTGTCTATTGAGGAGTTTGTGAAAAATATAAAGACTTAGACTGTCAGTCTACAAACATGACAAGGAAGGGAAAAAAGGCAGATAAAACATGTTGGTTCGGCACAATCTGAAACAAATTAAAGACAGACACACTTTCAACGCTCTTTGAATGAAATTCTCAGAACTTGTTACCTTCCTGCTTTTCTCCTCCAGTCAATAAATTCAAGCAATTCCATTAGTCTGTTAATTCACTTAGATAATATTGAGCATCACCAACCATAATGAATAAGGCTGATAATACAGCCCTGAATCAAAGAATGCAATTCACGAGATGGCCCTTTGCCGAACTACATTTGTCACAATTCAGTTTTATGGTTAGAGACTTCAAACTCTAAAATAAGTATGGGAGAACAGATACAGACAGCTGTTTATTTGAACTCTGCCCTTTTTAAAAATTCTAAGCTGTTTAAAGAAACAAACTTTCCTTATCAATATGATATACTTTATTTTCTCAGTCAACACTAATTAAAATGAGTTTGCTCTTTGCACCACACCATCATAACTGTTTTAAGGCCACAAATTCCATGAACAGCTAAAAACATACTGTGCCAAAAAATTATCAGTCACTGAGGAGCTGTGCTGACTTCTAACATGCACTATTTGATATCTACTTTGTTGGCTGAAGATTTTACAGAATTGAGAAGAATTGAAATTATCTCTTTTCATCTTATTAGTGAAATTTCAAGAAACCTAAACTCATGTTAAATTCAGTTATTTTCCTGATGCACCTGTTTATTCACAATTGTATGTTTGTGGACAGTTTTTCACGTAGAGTGGAATCCTTGCCAGGTTTATCAATTTCTTCCAAACAAACTGACCTTACGTTTCTAGTTAAAACATTGCATTTCAATACTATCATGAGAAAATACTTGTTTGATCCAGTATTATATTCTCTTTCATAGTAATATTTTATCATTTAGAAGTCAAAAAAGTCCTAAGTCTAAGCAAAACGTACAGAAAAGACAACGCTCTCTTTTAGAGCGCATGAACTGGAAAGAGATATCTTGAGGTCCATTTTTTTTCCTTGATATACTTAGAAAGACAGATGCAACAGATAACACCACAAGAGGATTTATACGACAGCTAGTCACATTGTCATTGTTTCCTTTCTATATTTATTCCATGATTACAGAATGAAATTAAAGTTTAATGACCTAGACTGTATTCTGCCAGTAGAAGTAAGTGTGGAAATACTGCCTGCATGATCCCATTTTTATCCAAGAGAAAATAGGACTAAAATGTTTTGAATGAGTGTTGTAATTAAATAGTTTTACTGAATGAGCAAGACTAAGAACTTCCGGCATCCCCTTGATAAATAGGTGTGAAAATAACAGATACATAAATAGGTAACTTCCCATGAAATACTTTCTCATTGTGAAAGATTGGACTAACACTTTACAAATGGTCTTTGACGATGTTGGACCACTTTCTTTCATTTTGTATATATAAGCAAGAAACGTCCTTAGTTAGAACTTTCATTTCATTTATTCTAATTCATTATACAGTTGTTTGGTTATCATTGTTTTCATTTTTAGAGTTAATTCTGGTTCAATCCTTTAAACTTCTTGATTTTATTCAATGAAAATTACAGAGTTCAGAGTTACGGATATAAAAGGCAATGAAATTTCTCATCTATTCTCAAATGATTAATAACAGCTGTATCGTTCAGCTCTTTGTGAAGAAGAGAATAAAAATGGTACAAGAGCTCATATTTTAGAACAAGTTCAAAGAAATATTGCTAAAGGCTTATTTAAAGAGAATTGTATTTTCAAGTGATACAAACTTGCAAACATTCAGAGTATCAAAGCTGATACAGCAAGGACAAGGTCTGCTTTCTACACTGCAGCCACTCTGTGAATACAACTCAGAGCAGGAAGGAGATCAGAATTCCTAAGGGAGTTCTAAATTATAAGAATTAAAGTTATGGACTTTGAAAAGAGCAAAGTCATTACTCATTCAATATTTTAACTGTATATGAATCTGGCTCAGGTGGTAGTGACCAAAAACTGTTATCATTTGAAAGCTGTTCACAGTAGCACATGTTGAAATTATTTTATATTCTAAATCCACTTTCTAATTAATAGATGTCAACATAAAAAATCACCATTACAGCTAGTACCATTGTTGGCAAGTTCAACAGCCAGGGCAGAGACTAGATAGACATGGAAAATGTACTATCTTCCTCTAGAAAAAAAGCTAAGCTTTCTGACATGTGCATTTTGAGGAGTTTTATGCCACTGTTTAATTTCTTCTAAGAATTAATAGAGGAATTCAATTCTCAGTCCTATCAAGGAAACTAAATTTAAGTATGGAAGAGGAAGATAGTTTAACTGCACTCCTTGCAGGGTTTTCTGAGTTTTTCTGAATGATTCCTCACATTGTTTTATGATCACCAATCATTGTTAGCTTTCATTTTCAAAAGCAAATGATAAAGTCAGTTATAGGGTTGTGCAGAAATATTGCAACACTAAGACGGAAAACAAACCAATTTTAATTCTCTCCTATGTAAAATGTAATGAAAGCATTTTAAAAGGTGCATTTAAGATTATGAAAATACTTCTGCAAAAATGTAATGGGCTACTGATGGAAAAATCATGTAATTTAAGAAAAATTTCCATGAACAGTAGAAAAGACATATACCATTCCTTTTACAACTGACAAATTTCATATGTTTATAACAACATAGAAGCTTCTGCATGCCACTGGTTCATCTAGGCCATGCTGCATTTCCAAACAGTTGGATGTTTCAAACCCATTCAACATTGTTTTATTATGAATTTCTTCCTACTCTTATTTGGAGCCAAATTTTCATTCCCCTATCCTCAGCAAAATGGACTTGCTTCACAGTGGTCCCCTTTAAGTCAGCATGCCCCTTGTGGTATGAGGTATTATCCAAAGAAAGGTCTCACTGATTATCTACCTCTGCCCTGAAACATTAATAAGTCAATAAATCCTGGATTTTTTTTTTAATTAGTCTATCTCACATTACTGCAGATGCTAGGAAAAAAGGGAACAAAAAGAAAACAATTCCTTGCTCTTCCCAGTGAAGACACATGCTGAACTGAATGCAGTGAACAGCCAAAGAGAAAGCTCTGTGATCATAAAAACGTGTTTAAACTGAGACATGATGCTAGCAATGTTAAAATCATACTCTTCAAAACAGGAAGGAAGTCTGCTCACATGGGATACTATTGCTGACATTGAAGGAACTTTAGTTTATGCAGAGAGGAAAGCATTCTGATGTTGCCTAATTCAGCAAAAACAGCACAATCGCTTGTTAGTTTCACACAGGAATAGAAAAATGAGGGCATCCTTTCTGTATAAAGGGAGCCAGAAAAAAGAAATGAACCACACTTAGCACTATTACAATATGGACTACCAAAACACATTATTCTTTTGAGTGAAAAAATTAAGTGGCTTTAAGGCATATTTTCTGTTGACCAATTTTTAAAGGTTTGCCTACATTAGGACCTTCTAGCCTTTTCTGGCTGCAGGGTATGGACGTATGGTTGGAGCTGGGGAGCTGCTGGAGGCCTTTCTCACATATCCCCTCCCTCACCTTTCAGCTGCTGTCTAACATGAACCAGCCTGAATACAGCGATAGAGAGATCCTTAACTTACTCCGTTCTTTCCCTCCCTCAATATCCACATAAGAACCCACATTTAAACTCTACAAACAAATTATTCCCTACTACTGCCACAAACATCAAGATGGTATCATGAATAAACAGCTATATAATAATTCAAGAAAGAAACTAGGAAATGAGAAATAAAGAAAGTTAAAATATAATTCTAGGGATAATAATCTGCTGCCCCAGATCAAATCTGTTGAGTTTAGAAATAGAAGGCTTTTTTGGTATATTCTACAAACCTAGTCTAGAATCTACACTTCTACCAATTGCCAAGATGTTACATGTATGAGATCTGTAACTCCCAAGTACAAAAAAAAGTCAAGGGAGAAGGAGCCATCAGCAGACACCTCTCTGGCTAAAGAGAGCCTCAGTTAAGTCCAATTTTACTCACCACAGTTAAATGTTCCAATAGGTATGCCACATCAACCATATCTGCCAGAACAAGAAGCCTCGTGACAGCTGCAAGCAGAGACCGTGCTGCTTGGACAACAGCTTGCCTCTTGGGTAGGTAGCAGGGATCACTGGTAAACTCCTCTGCTGACACCTTTAAGGCCTGACCTGCAAAATGAAGACAATCTCCCTTAGAATACACTGCAATATTCAAGTTAAAAATAGTTAAAACTCAAATAGTTATTTGGCAAATCAAAAGCATTACCAATTGAACTAGCATATTTTTATTGCCTTCATGCTTTGAAATGAGGGGTAATTATTGCAGATCATGCAGAATATTCTACACTTTGAGTGATGTTTCCTAACTGTTCTTCTGCATGATTTAATTCTGAAATAATGCCTTTGGCAATCATACTCTCAACTGGACACAAGGAGGCCGGAGATGCTATGTTAAACTTTTCTAGTCACTGCTTTTTATATTACTATGTACTTCATTGTCCTTACTATTAAATAATTCTTGGGCACAGGAGGGAATCAAGTATGGTTCTTCCCATTATAAATATGAGTTAATGGAATGAAAATCTCATATGCCTCAACATCTGACTCCAAAACACGTGAAATCTATACAACAAAGCTAGTAACCATGCCCATACGTAACAATATACTGCTCTCTAACATGAAGTTTTGCAAACTAGACTTAAATGACTGCCACGTTCCTGACAGCAGCCACGCTGGGCAGAAAATAAAACTCCAGGGACAGAATCCTAAGACCTTAGGCTCAAGCCCATCTAACAGCACACACAAAAAGCCCCTACCTATGCAAGTAACGAGATTGTTTTCACTTTTCTCCTTTAAACAGATGATTTATTCAATTATATGTACATTCAAAATAAAATCACTATTAACAAGCAGCAACAAGCATCTTTATCTTAAATTAACTGCATGCATTCTGAAAATCTTATCATCTGTTGTCCAGACAGTCAAGTCTCTCACATAAGCTAAAAAAAATAAGACCAGTTTCATCTCAGCAACATCCACTTTCATTGAATATCCCTTCAGATGGAAGTCGTGTTTTGCTAAAGCATTTTAGAACACTGAAGTTCAAGTTATACTGTGAGGATAAGACAGTACAGCAGGACACTTTTGTGCAAGGAAATTGAGAAACAGAGGTGTGAGGCAAACTTCAAATTACCACACCCATGCACAAATCGGTCTGATAGGTGTTATTACATCATTTCTCAAAGGTACTTCCCAGCTAAATACAAAATGCAGCACCATAGCAGGTAGTGCAGGGCTGGCCAGGTGGCTCTAAAAGTCCCAAGAAGACAGCACACTGCAGCAAGCGCTTTATCGCCCATGGGAAATGCTTCTTAGTTTATGGACATGCTTGGGAGATGCAATAAGGATCAATTAGCACCTTTCTCCTTTGGATGAAGAGGATGTTTGTGTAGCACTTCAAAACCATAGAAGACAACATGAAATGGTCTTATCAGGGCTGTCATTTTTATCAATTTCTCTCAAGCTAGCATGATGTGTTTCTGCTAATGTGAGCAACAATGAGAAAAACAATGACAAACAGCTGAGTTTACTTTCATCATTCTGTCACCTAGACTTATTGAGAGGAAAAAAGTGCCCTCAAACTCATTTCTAAAAGCACTGCAAACTCTGTTATCACCTTGCTGGCTATGGCACAGCCCTGAGAAAACTGTCTAAAAGCACTGGAAAACTCTCGCTGCCCAAGCACAAACGGCTAAAATAAATAGTTGGCCCATTAAACTCTCTACATTAGCTTGAAAACTGAAGATGGATGCAAAGAAATAAAGTGAATACTTTCTGCTGTACTAAAATTAGATATCATCACTATTAAAGATAGCTATTAAAAGATTACATATTCATGAAGCCAGCTCTTCATATTTTGACAATTGCCTGCTTATCTTAAGCTTGTCCTGTGTTTTGGATACAACAATAAATAAAAGCACGACAGAGTTAAATTCTGTTTCTTACTCAATATTCTTTCTACCTACACTTACGTTATCTAAGTCTTGATATAAGTATGGGGTACATTTTTCCAAGCAGACAATTATACCACAGATATTTTCCACACAAAGTCAGAGTGTAGGAACGTGTGTATTTTTTTTTGGCTTTGGTCTACAAACTCTAAACAAAACTAAGGACAGAATATTGCCTTTTTAAACAAAATTCACAGTATCCCTAGCACTATATAGCTTCACTCTAAGGCAAGAAGTCTGGACAGGCCTCCTGCAGCAATGCTGTGGACATGTCTACTTCAAGCTATTTGGTAGTAAAGTCAAAGCTAAAGTCACGCCAAGAGTTTTGCTATCTGAGTCAAGTTTGTGTCCATACAATCTCTGGAGTCCTCAAATCAAAAACCAGGCAAGTTCAACATTTTAGGCATAGAATCTGCTGCAGGGCTGAAGTGTGATTGAAGACTAGTATGTCTGTAGAAGGTCAGAAGAGAATTAATGACGGGAAGGGAATATGAAGTGAAGAGAACTGGCTACTTTTGAGAGACAAACCTGAAACAGAAAAGAGAATCAACTAACCATTGGAAGAAAACAAGGGAATATTATAATGGAAATTATAAGGAGAACATTATACTGGTCTGAATTACACTACAGTGTACACATTCCGAACATATAAAAGACATGTAATGCTAACTTGTTCTTTTACAGTCTGAAAAATATCATATCTCAGTCTTGGGGAACAGCTGTCTATGATCCAAGGCCTGGTTTGGTGTGGCACAACTGTGCAACCTTGCTCAGTTTTGCTGAGGAAATTGTTAGTAAGGTGTGAGAAAGTATGTTAGCTAAACTCACACAAGGTAAGTAAAAACAGACAGAAGTGGAATTGTGGAGATGGTGAGGAAAAATATCAACATGAAAAGTTATAAAAACCTTAAGAAAATAACATACGCTTGTAAGACAGCATCTCTGCAAAACTGAGGATTAGCCACTTTCAGAGGAGCAAGACGTCAACATCTTCCCACATGACTGACAACTGTCTGGCCAGATGTGTTTGCTACCCCCCTCACTGGGAGTAATGCACACATTAACGCTTAGCTTAGTCACTTACTAGTCTTACCTATTTATTGCATGCATTAGCCAATAAACAACTACTTGTCGAGTTCTACACGTCCTGTTCGCAGAGCCTCTTTGCACACAGTAAAAGTCATCCAAAAGTTACCAGGAGAGGCAGGGTTACAGATTAGAAAAGAACTAGTTGGTTGGGAAGGAGAGAAAGTATTCAGTTGTGAGATCACCAGACAGGAGTGAATGGTCAGACTTACAGGTTAGTAACTGAATTAATCAGGAAAGGAGTAAGACAGAGCTTAGCTGAGGACAGGAGGCCCAGTGCTATCACTGGGAATGTTTAATAGGAGTCATAAACTAAAGGGTAATATTCTTAAAGCAAAGTAACTCTTCATAAACCTCCCAAACAATGCTTCCCCTTATCCATAAACACAAAGCTGAACTCCATTTTCACAAGCCCCACATGTGATGATTTACCTAGCTCTCTGGTATTACTCCTTCTAGAGGAGAAGAGCCCTATGGATTTGGGTGTCTTTCACCACATTTCAACATCTTAAACACTTAGGAGTCTATGTGGAAAACTGAGACCATCAAAACTCCCACACAAATCATATTAAACCTCAAATAGTCCTAAAATATGAGAATACTAGTATTTCAACACTGATCTCTTCTGGGCACTTCAGCTGGTGTCTGGTCAAGTTCAGAATCACTGTCATCGTCACAGTTTTACACCAAAGCCTCACTACAATTCACAAACTAGCCGCTCCTCCGTCTTTCTCTATCTCACAGAGGTTCTCCAAGCATGTCTCAGCTGACTGAACTACTCAGATAACTCAATCAGAGTCTCAAAAATCATACTCTCTTTTTACCTCTTACTCCAGAGCTGATAGGTGCTAAGACATTAGCTGAGAGGTTAATGCCTTCCCTTTATGGGGGAGGTGAGTCCCCACTCTGCTTGAGAGGGTCCCTGAGGCAAAAGGTATCCTGGATTCAGAAAAGGGGCAAGTTAGTCTTAATTCCCCCTCCTTGAATTACTCTGCTGTGCATGGACAGAGAGGAAGAAATAAAAATGATCCTATAGCATAAGTGGTTAGATGATCAATGAGAAAAAGTAACGACTCACCACATATTTAACATGCAAAAAAGACATTTTCAGACCAAGAAGTGCTGGATCCCAGGTCCATATTGACTGCTGACTAGTCAGCTAGAGAGTATCTTATCTGCTAACATGGGGTCCATGAAGGTTTAATGAATCTGTTAGAAAACAGTACAGAAAGACTGACAGAACCATCCTCCTCCAAACTCACTATCACACCTTACACCTTGATGAATAAGGCTCTCCCTTGGGAAATGAGAGAGAAGGGTTCAAGGCCTCAAGCAGTCTACCTCCAATACCAACATCTTGGTCAAATGCTTAACAGTATCAGCAAAACAAAGGGAGGACCTACCTATTCCTAACTTCTCCCCCCTCCAGCCAATCCTGGAAATCCCCTCTCAAATTTCAGCCACAAAGCAGCCCAAGCTGGTGAATATTTAAGATACACCCCTCTGCTTAGAAATATTCCTGTTGCCCGCCTTACACAGCTCCCCTTTCAGTAGGTTGGTTTCCGTGGATCTCACTCGTAGCCACAACACTTCACATGCATTGCGAAGAAAACTTAAGCACATATTTCAGATGCTGTTAGTGTGAGACTGCTACGGGCCTCACATCTGGGCAGCAAATTGTGACGCCACTTCTTTTTATTCTCCTATTTTCTTTTTCTCTGTCTGAACAAATCTCAGTGTTCTCTGTGTGCTGAATAGGCCCCTCAGCCTCTACATGTTTCAGGATAAAAGGGATTTTTTCCCAAAGCTAAAAAGGGTAAGAAAGATGGAACTGAAAGATCAACCATCTTAAATGTCCTATATCTTTAACTTAATAACGTTCTGTTTTCTAGATGTGCCAAATTATCTGAATTTAGTTAAATTTAACTTGGAAGCAGAGGTATCTCACAGTGAATCACTGCATACCATTTTTGCACCCACCTTTTTATCATTTTAGGGCTCGTAAACCACATGGCATACAACTAGGCTTAAAATCGATTTCACATATATTTCTGCAATTTTGTTCTTTTCCCA